CTGATATCTATGTTGGATGAACGTTGTATACATGTTTTAAATGATTTAAACTGTATATATATATATATATATATATATATATATATATATATTATATCTACAAATATGTTGGGGTAAAACATGGGTAGATGAAATAGTTGGGGTGTGATGAAATAAAATGATGAGAGGCCTCGATGTTGACGATGATCCACTCATCGAGCAGAGTATAAATCACGACCCCGGACTATTCTAGACAGTCTAGTGGAACGCTGACAGGCTCACAACCTGTAGGTGTTTATTTGAACTACGTGTTCACCAGGTGTACTCCATCCCCTCATGGTTGCCTTATTTGACATAAATTGCTATGGAATCCCCTGAGTAGTGTTGTCCACCCCGATGAAAATCCTTAGGCTAGGTCTCTTATAATAGATGCTTTTGGGACGTAAAGTGAGGATAACGGGAATGGGGAATCGGGATGATTGATTTGATAAAATTAATGAATTTAATTATTGTGGGTTGAACACTCTATTTGCTCACCAGGTTTCCCAACCTGACCCACTTAGCTTATTTGTATCACAGGTGTCGATACGAAGCTACATTACACTGAGAGATTAAAAGAGACGTGTATCATTAGTGTAAATGAATGTAAGATCTTTTTATGCTTATGTTTCTGTATTGACAATGACATCCCAAAGTTTTAATATAAACAAAATACATTTCTTCGGAAATGTTTCGATAATATGTTTATCATGTTTTTCTAGGAACAAATTCTACAACACTTTTCTTTGAAAGATTACTTTGATTTTATTATAAAAGCATAAGCGAAATCGTTCTATTATGGCCGTGAAATTAGGGATGTCACACATTTGGCAAAAGGTCTATTGGAGGTTTTTGTGTTTTGTAGATTTCTAATTGTATCATCCAAGTTTCGATGATGTTTCTTTTTCTACTATTTGATTGGGGGTTTTATAGTTCAAGGAAAGGTAGAAGCAAAGACTGAACCTGAAGGAATTAATCGCAAAATCTAAAAAAATCGAAAATCTGGAATTTATCGCATGGGGCGTGATACGCCCTTTAAAAGGCACGATGCGCCTCCGGCCCATGGGCTGATCGTGTTTTTGGGGGTATTTAAAGGTCATTAACCCGTGTGGTTTGTTATTGATCAGCCTTCATTAGTCCTAAAATGTTCCTTGAGAGAAAACCTAGCCTTCTTGAAAACCTAGCCTTATTGATCCAAAATCATGTGATTTAAAAAATGATATGATCCAAAAATACTATCAAAATAATTTGATCGAAAAATTTATGATCCAAAAATGGTATCATCTAAAAGTAGTATGAACTGAAAATATTATGATGCTTAATATTTTTTTGATTCAAAACTTTTATAATTGTTAAATATTAAAAAACTCGAACTGATATTTAGTTCAAAAACATAAAAATAAAAAGAATAAAAAAACAAAAAACACCAGTAAATTCAAATATGTAGTAAAAAGAAAAAAAAAACAAAAACAAAAAAAGGTATATATATATATATATATATATATATATATATATATATATATATATATATATATAAGTTTTTAAAAAAAAAAAAAATACTATTTTAAAACATATACAACAGGACGGTAAAAACAAAATTAAATTGAAAAACCCAATTAAATGGCACTCCATAGATGTTCGTCACATATGATTAAATCTTCGAGTTCGTATTACGTTTAACGTGCAACGACTGCGAACGCATAACGACAAAGTATTAAGTTTGGCGATTGTTCCTTAGACGAAAGTGGTGGTGGTGGTTGGGGGTTGGGGGTTGGGGGGGGGAGGGGGGGGTTAGAGAACTGTGTTTGTTTTCCTTACCATTTTTGGAATGCTCACCGGATCTACACCTTAATATTGGTATCAATACTAATTTTTATTTTTATTTAAAATTTGAAATTTGGAAATTTTAAAATGTTATTTGAAATTGTAGTTTTTAAATTTTAATTATATGCCAATTATTTTTTTACAAAATAATAATAAGTAATAAGAAAATGATATATGACGTGACAACTCATTGAACTATATGAATTTTAATGGAGTATAGAGTTTTATAGGTAAAATTATATAGTGCATATGTATTGATGTGATAATCTATTGAACTCAGACCATTTCCAATGGATTAAACTCATGGACAGTTGTATGAATTGCCAACTAGGAAAGAGAATATACACATTCACTTTAATTCTTAAAAAATTCATAAATTTTCAATTACAATTCCATTACACCATTCAATGGTCATTCAACTCCACAATCTCTCTCATTTATATTATATTCACAGTTATTCCATTAAACTCTCATACAACTCCTATTGTGGATGACCTCATATAAAAACATACTTAATGATAAGTTTAATAGGAGAATTGAATATGATGACAAATGTATGTGTCATTTAATTGATGACAAATGTAGATGTCATTTAATAGATGAAACTATACCATTATGACATGCCACCTTGATATTAAATTGATTTGGAATTCATATATATATATATATATATATATATATATATATATATATATATATATATATATATATATTACCTTTTGTAATATTCTATTGAACTTTGTAGAGTTTAATACATTTTAGGAAAAAAATGATAGAGTTTTATGGATTTAAAAAAAATAATGTGACAGTTTATTGAACTCAATGAATCTTAGTATCTTAGTGTATTATAAATACCCTAAGGTTGGATGGAATGGAAGTAGGAAAGGGTCGCAGGTAGCTTCCCGCCCGACGGAACACCGCACCGTCGGTGTGGGAAAGGGTGACGCAGGAACCGGTGAGGGGAGGCTCTCCCGCGTTTTCTCTCCGTCGATCATTGGCCGGAATATTTTTTTTCTTTGAATTAGCCGTTGTTTAAAGGTAAAAAAATTTCCTTTTTTTTACTAACGGATATATGTATTTAAACCTTTCTTTTACCTTTTTAAGCACCTATAAATACCAAACTATTTACCTTCAATCAACATTTAAACAAACCTCTATTCCCTCTATTTTCTTCTAAGAAAAAAAGAATCCCGATGAACAAACCCCCAACTTCCGATCGAAGGAAAAGAAGTCATGGTTCGAGTTTAAACATCCCAACTCGAAACATTTTTGCTATCGATTCATCATCTCAAGGAGTTTATCGCCTCCAACTCGATGCTCCCATTCAATCTCCACTACAATTTCGATACCAAAATGTTAGACAATGTTACCTGATCCAAGTTTCAAATGTTACGTCACAAATGTTTTCAAACTTTGTTGTTTTTCTGGATCAACAATTGCCAAATCAACCTCAAATTCAAACCCAACCCCAAAACCAAACCGAAACTCAAACCCAAACCCAACAACAATTCCAACTTGTCGATGAGTTGGATGACTCAGAAGAAGAAAGATGGTTCCCGAAACTTAACCCACACCACCCCCACAACAAAGGTTGTAGAACTCGTTACTCGGTACCTGTTCGGCTGACTACCGAGTAACGAGTACTCGGGGAGTACTCGGATTTGGTAATTCACGTAGAAATATTTTTAGGAAACTTATATACGTTAAAATCATAAGTTAAGATCTTAATTTGATTGAAATATATAAAAAAATAAGATACATGTGAATACACAAAAACTGAAAAACACATAATGGTTTCACTTCATGAATAATTACTGAAATTTAAGATATATATGTAGTAATAATCCCATGTGTATGTGTTAAATAATAAATTGTTAAGTATATTATACATATTAATCACCAAGTTGATCTGGTTTTACAACATTGCTCAGTTCAGTAAGGACCCGATCGGGGAGTACTCGGGATTTTGTAACTCGCCTCGGTAAGGGGCTGAGTAGCGAGTACTCGAAGGAGTAATCGACCAACTCGGCGAGTTTTACAACACTGCCCACAACGACACAAAGGAAAACAACAAGCGCACAAGGGTGTCGCACAACCGGGAAGACAAAAGTCCACAACCGGGAAGACAATGTCTTAGGTGGAAAAAATACGAGAAATTTTTTATTTTTGGAGTCCAACAATCAAAGTGAACGAAAACGGGTTCTAGTGGTCACACAACCTCCTCCGATGCTCGGTTCGATCTAGATTTAAATCAGGATGACGAACTCGAGCTAGAAGAAATTGTCCCCCCAATGGGTAGGGACAAAGCAAAGAGAAAGGGAAAAGCGACTTCTTCGGGTGCATCGGATTTCAGCATGGACATTGACGAAATGCGGAAAATAACAACGTTTGGTCTATAAAAAGAGAGGTAGGGACAATTCCTTTGGTTTTATATGAATAAAAGAAAAATGAGTGAAATGATGATATGGTCTACATAAGAAAAGTTTACCTCTCATACCCTTTGTTTAAGTTCAATGTATCTGGCGATAGTGTAACCCGAACTTTCTATCACGAGGCCGGTGCGACCATGTGAGTGGGTACGCGAGAATGCATGATAGTCACATATCAAATGGTAATATTTCTCATATTAAAGAATACAGAAAGATTGATCGGTTAAAAGATTCATACAATCATATCTAAAACGTGGAAATATGTTGGGCAAGAAGACACATGAAAATTAATGCGTTGAAGGTCACCGATGCCACCTGTTTCAAAGGCTCTCTGGAAAGATCAGACACAAATGTCAGTCAACCACCTACAACTTCATCTAGAATGCTTTTGTCACGTTGAAAGATAAAAAGATATATCAAATACCCAAATTGCTTTTTCAATAAACAAAATAGTAAAAATCGGAATTGTTTGATATACTATTTTAAGGATAACTCAAATCTCAAAACATGCATAAGTTGGTGAAGGTGAAGCAAAAGCCAAATAAAAAACCACCAAGTTCATAAGTACACCCACTCACTTTCTTCCACTTAAAAGAGCTCGTTTATGTTAAGAAACACGTGTAACAATTGAACTCAAACACCATATCTCGTTATCAATTTATCATCCCTCTCAATTCTCAAATTCTCTCACTCTCACTCTACTCTTTGCTTTGCTCACATGATCCACAAATGTTGCTCTCACCGCTTCTTCTTCTTCTTCTTCATCTATCTTTCTCAATCCCACCGTCCTTCTCACAGTCGTTCTTCTATAATGGTTTCAAAAACTGCGCTTCCACCAACATAACCATGAACGGAGTTGCAGAGATCACCGACGATGGTATTCTCAGGCTTACGGATGTCCGCTCTCGTTTGATTGGCCGGGGGTTTTACCCTGATCCGATTCGTTTCAAGAGTCCCACAACGGGGGCGTCTCTCTCTTTCTCCACTTCTTTCGTATTCGCCGTCGTGCCCAAGTACAGACAGCTCGGGGGTCATGGCTTAGCTTTTACAATCTCTCCGACCAAAGACCTCGCCGGAGCTCAACCCAGTCAATACCTCGGCCTCCTTAATTGCAGCCTCAATGGGAATTCATCTAATCACCTCTTTGCGGTAGAATTTGACACCGTTCAAGATTACGAATTCGTTGATATCGATGATAATCACGTCGGTGTTAACATTAATCGTATGAGATCGGTGAATTCGACCAGAGCTGGGTTTTTTGTTGATGGGGATTCAACAAAACAGGAGATTTGTTTACATAGTGGGAAAAAGATTCAAGCTTGGATCGATTATGATGCTGACATACCCCAATTGAATATCACTCTTTCCATGTATTCAAAAAAACCCAGTACGCCGATCTTATCTCTCCCGGTGGACTTGTCGCCGGTTTTTCAAGATTTTATGTACGTTGGGTTTTCTGCTTCAACGGGTCTTCTTGCTAGCTCCCATTATGTCTTCGGATGGAGCTTCAACATGACCGGAAAAGCAAAATCGTTGAATCTTCATCACCTCCCTTCACTTCCATCATTTAAAAAGAATAAAAGAGGTTTCATAATTGGGCTTTCTGTTTCGATAATATTAGCTTTTTTCATCATCACGATCGGCGGTGCTGTTTATGTTTTCAAACAATTCAATCACGTAGACCTGGTTGAAGATTGGGAGCTTGATGTGGGCCCTCAAAAGTATTCTTACAAGGATTTGAAGGATTCTACAAAGGGTTTTCACGAGAAAGAAATGCTCGGATATGGTGGATCCGGTAAGGTTTACAAAGGGGTTTTGCCTAATTCGACTACCCAAATCGCACTGAAGCGAATTCTGAAGGAATCAAAACATGGGCAGAAGGAATTCGCGTCGGAGATTTCAACAATTGGCCGGCTCCGGCACCGGAATCTTGTTCAATTGTTGGGTTGGAGTAGAAGAAAAGGTGAGTTTTTGCTGATTTATGATTTCATGTCAAATGGCAGCTTAGATAATTATATTTTCAACAACCCAAAAACGATTTTGAGTTGGGAGCAAAGATTCAAAATCATAAACGATGTATCAAACGGATTACTGTATCTTCACGAGGGTTGGGAACAAACTGTGCTCCACAGAGACATTAAAGCCGGAAATGTGTTACTAGATTCGGACTTAAATGGCCGTTTAGGTGACTTCGGGTTGGCTAAGTTATACGACCATGGTTCGCACCCCACCACCACCAAAGTGGTCGGTACACTGGGTTACATGGCTCCTGAGCTGACTCGAACCGGGAAGCCCACCACGAGTTCCGATGTGTTTGCTTTTGGAGCTTTATTGTTAGAGGTTGTATGTGGCCGGAGACCCATTGAACTCAAAGCCTCACCGGAGGAGCTCATTTTGGTGGATTGGGTGATGGATAAGTGGCGAGAAGGGAGGTTACTTGAGGTGGTGGATTCAAGGTTGAAAGGAGAGTTCGATCAAGTCGAGGTTATGATGGTGTTGAAGCTTGGGTTGATGTGTTCTAGTGATGAACCATCATTCAGGCCGAGTATGAGGCAGGTGATTAGGTACTTGGAGGGAGAGATACCCTTGCCGGAGATTTTAGCTCCGCCATGTGAGAAAAGTGGTTTTGTGGTGGGCTTTGAGGAGTTTGCAGCTTCGTTAAAGAAAGTGGATACTTGGTCGGTTGGATATAGAGAAGGGGATGCTGATCTTGAAGCTGGTTCTGGTTCGCCTTAGTTGGTTTCCGGCAAGCACATCTGCAACGAATCTTTATATAAAGATTAGACCACCATCTCGTTTGTCTATAGAATGTACAGCTTGTAACTTTTTCTCTTAAGCTTTTTTAAAGCTTTCTAATATTTGGACAAAAGATTGGAAAGTGGAAACCTAGACACATGTACTAGCTATTAGACTTTTAGGTATGGACAACGCCTAACGGACTTTTAGGTATGGACAAGGACCGGAGTGTGGATCCTATGTTTTCAATAGTAGGAGCTCTACTACTATCGTCCACACCTATTCATATCCATTTCGAGACCCGTCCCGAAGTGACCAAGTCGTTTCTCGCCGACAATTCTAGCACCCATTTATACACTAACATGTGTTATTAGGAATCCCACCCCACACTGCTATAAGACATGGAAGAAATTTCTACTAATGTCAACTAACTATTTTACGAATACAATTAAATGCGACAAAAATTAAAGTGTTTTTACTGAAAGATCCTACACCACAATGGTTAGACTCAAATGAGAGTAGCGCAATAGAGTCGAATCAAACATTTTAAAACTATTTAATTTTTATAGCATGCAATCTAACATATTCGCTTAATAATTAGCTAATATCAATACAAACTTCTCTTAGCACAAAGCTAACAACATTTAAGCAAACAGTCTAACAGGTAATTCTATCATATTCATTATATCCTAGAATTTGCTGCATTTTTCCTAAATTAATGGGAATCACCCTTACACTGCTACTCTAAATCACATGGAGTCTCCACCAATCCCGACGTGTCGTCTCGTGAATACACCATCATATACAATGTAAAACAAGATAGTCATTCGAATAAAAGATTATGCACGAGAACGGTTGGACTCAAACGAGAGTTGCACACCATGCTAAATTAGGCATTCTAAGTCTATTTAGTTCATATTGCATATAACTTAAAGCATTCACTTAAGAACCTATCAGTACTAGCACAAATTTCAAATAACACATAACGACATCCAACATAGCCTGTGAAATATCAATATCAGGTTTTCTAGCATACATACACATTATGTCCTAGAAAGTAATAGAAAGTAATAAACCACATTGAATCGTTTAACCTTTTCTTATGGCTCTGAATGATTGTACACACTCTGTCGTCGATCTCCGTTTCTAAAACTTTTTCTTTTATTTTTAAAAAACTTTCTTTTAAAATAACTCTCGAGCTGCAAACTTAAGTTTAGAACTCACCAAAATGAGGTTGTTTCACTCAAGTTGTGCTTTGATACCAACTTGTAACGTCCCCAAAATTACAATAAATTTATACTTTTAAAAACTCATTTCATTAATATAAAATCCAATTCAGTCTATTACTTAATCAAAATCCATTAAGTTTTAAATAAACATAATAATAACATCCACTTTGTTCACAAACCAGAAATCAAACAGCGGAAATAAAAGCTAAGGGTTCAATGTTTATAAAAATCGTCAAGCCGTGCCATGTGTACAATTAAGTTATGTTTTTCCCTTTACTACCACCTATAATTCTTGAAACAGTAATTTTAAGAGGAAAAGGGTAAGCACGAAGCTTAGTGAATCCCCACACAACATCACATCAATGTAATATATCTTACTCTTACCATACATGTACATATATCATGCCATCAAGTCACAAATAAACAAACACTTTCATACAATACATGCTAGTTTAAGAACACATCAATAAACAAGCATTCCCCGAGGACTCAATATTTCAACATTCAGTCCATAGATGTGACATCCCCAATTTCACGGTCAGAAAATACCGATTTGTTTATGCTTTGTTTTATAAAATCAGAGTAATCCTTTGATTTAAAAGAGTTACGGAATTTATGCCCAAAATAAAATATGATAAAATAAAATTTATCAAAGCATTTCTTAAAGAAATGTATTTTCATTAAATAACAAAATCTCGGGATGTCATGTTCCGATACAGACCAAAAGCATAAGCAATATAAAATAGACCTTACAACAGTTATTTATAACTACTGATCTATAATTCAAAATATCTCGTCAAGTCCACCAATTTATACCCTTGTGCCATTACCTGTAATGCAAAGAAAACTGAGTGGGTTAGGCTTGGGAGCCTGATGAGTAGATAGGGTTTTCACAATAATACATTTATTATATTCAATTATCAAACAAGCAACCCAATTACCTATCCTCATTATCTTCTTTATTTCTTAAAGGTTTACCATAAGAATCAACCATCCTTCAATCACTAATTCCCAAGGATTGACCTTAAGAATTGGCACGAAATCAATTGCTGCCAAAGTTTATCTATCAGATACTAAATCCATAGCTATCGGGCGCTAACTCCATAGTTACCAAGGTTTACTCAACATGCACGAAGTCACATCGTCACCAAGGTTCATCAAATAGGCACGAAGTCACATCATCACCAAGGTTTTACTCAATAGGCACAAAGTCGCATCGTCACCAAGGTTTTACTCAATAGGCACGAAGTCGCATCGTCACCAAGGTTTTACTCAATAGGCACGAAGTCGCATCGTCACCAACTATTCCATCCACCCATGTTCTACCCAACATTTTGGCAGATATAAATACAAACACAGTTTAAATCATTTAACATCCGTATAAAAACATCAATTCCAAGCCCATCTCAAATAGAAAAATAATATATAACACATAGCATGTATTTCATAGCTAATACTTTATATTTATGTGTTAGAAGAAAGTAACTATACACTCACTTGATCAGAAGATGATCGGACAGCACTATAGCTTGTAGAAGTAGTATTCTTCGGTAGATCTGGAAGATCTTCACAAAAATTGGCTTCTTGCGGGCAGAGCTTCGGCTAGGGAATCTCACTTCTCGGGATCCTCGGGGCTTCGGAACTTGTTTCGGGGCTCGGGAATGATACCGGGGCTTTGAAGTATTTCTTGCACGCAAAACGATGCAAAAATCAGAGAGAGATAAGAGTTTGAGCAAAAGAAATCGGCTGCCTTCGCATGATATTTATAGGGCCTGAACTTCGGGGTTATGATGGGCGTACTTTCGGAGTACACTAGGTGTGACAACCTGAAATTTAATCCGTCGCCGTACAATGTTTTCCGTTAATAGAACTCGCTCTTATTAAACTTTTCCGTTAACATTGGGATCAGACAAATTAAAATTTGAACTTTTATTATGACTTCATAAGGATCGGAATAAATTAGAAACACGGGAAACACCCTCAATATTCTTTTAAAAAGTTTTAGTTACAAACAGGTTAAATTATGACCATTTAATCGGGTACGACCATAAGCCCCGTTTAACGCCGGTATCGGGTAGACTTCCACCTGGTCACAAACTCAAACCCTATATAAGGGTTGAGTGGTCACCAACTTAGACTTTTTACCACTCTAGTCACTCTCTCTCTGCTCTCTCTCTTTAAGGCCCGATTCTTCCAAAAATCCGCAAGTTTCCGCTTCTAAACTGTAAGTACTCTTACCCTAGATTGTTCTACAACTCATTACATGTCAATATAGCTTGAAAATCATCCAAGAAGGCCAAGAACAAGGAGTTAACGGCCCAAGAACCCTCTTAGGCCGTAAACCCCTAAAAATGTGCCAAAATGCCCCCAAATCTCTTCCTTAGGCTTAGAGGCTAACTTAGAACTTACCCTTGAAGTGTTTTAGACACTAAACTTTATGTAACCAGAGCTTCCCGGAAGGAAAGCAACACTACATGTATAGATCTATACAAGACGGACACTATTACATCCCGACTGTTAACTACAGTCCGAGCCGACTAGGGCCAGGGGTGACAAATCATCGCTACACTACGCATGACCGGGAAGGTCATCGAACTCTCTATTATCATTCAGATTGGTTACATGAGAAATCAATTCCTTATCCAAATTAATACACTAAGAATTAAAGGTTAAACTAACTTCCCGAAGTAAATAAAAATATATTACTATTCGAAGTTTGCAGCACTACTACAACCAGTCGTAAATAATTTTATACACCTGAATGATTAAACTTACAAATATTCGAATCTGGAAAATATAGGATTTTCTAGGGATTTTTACTATTCTCAAACATTAATCACAACTTTTACATTATATGATTGTAAACACTTTTATACAAGCAACGACATTAAAAATTCTTATGAACTCACCAGCTTTATGCTGATATTCGCTTTCAAAACAACTTGCATTCTCAGGTCAAAAATAGATAGGTATTGGTGCTGCTTTTGAGAAGATGGAGCATACACAAGACCCATCTTTTATTTTGTTTATATTTTTGGTGTCTATTAACCGTACAAAACACGTTTGTATTTACAATCACTATATTAATGCAATGGTTGTTGTCGCTTGTTTTTACTATTATGCAATTGTTATGATACTGTACATGACATCCTCCACCCCAGAACGTATTCCGTCGTTCTCGGTTTTGGGATGTGACACTGGGCGTACTCGGTACGCTGGCCTTACGCTTTGGATCAGACTTCTAGATGGCGAAGTCTCGGTGGAGCGACGTGGACGAAGCTAGACCGAACAATGCAATTGTATGCGGGGTGTACTCCTAGGTATGTTGGGCGTACCCTTCGGATAAGACTGATGCGGTTTCGGATATTATCCGAATTAAAATAAATATATTTTAATTATTTAAAAACTTCTGAAATTCATATCTATCTCATACGAGCTCCATTTTCGATGTTCTTTATATCCACGCGTAGGTGAGACTACACTTTACAACTTTCGTTTAGACTCTATTGGCTAATTTTGACTTTATTTTTATTATTTATTTTTTGTAGGCCGGAACAAGAAAACTCCGTTATAAATTCATAACTTCTTCATCCGACGTTCGTTTTCGTCTGTCTTTTTTTTACTGCTGCACTACTATCAACAAGATCTTCGATTCTCATTTAGATTGTTTCGGTTAAAAACCGCTCGATCTCAAATCGAGTATTCGAGCTGCATACCGCTAAGTCGAAACTTAGAAAAGTTATAAATTCCTCATACGAAGTCAGATTTGGA